TAATATACTAATGTGTTTTACTTCTAACTTAATACAATACATTTTGTCAGTCCTATAAATTCCCCTCCTTTTTCAATTTTCCATTGTCACCTTCAATTCTTTTTTCCTCATCTTTACTTGTACATAAGCCCGAAAAGGAGGGAGGGGTTCCGATCGGCCCATTATTCTACGACTTGGATCTTTGAAGACAATGCGAAATGCCTAAGTAATAGTTTCTATCCTTCTATACCTTCCATTCAAATCCAACAAATAACACTCACAATTTTACAATAAATCTATTGGCGAAACTGTCCGTTTAAATTATTATCCTATCTCAGCCCCACAGTTTGGAAGGGGGGGGGGGTAGTGGGGTACCTACACATTGTCTTTCTCATCTTTAGGTGATATCGACTACTTTTTGCTGCACGAATGAATGAAGTAAAGAAAGACATTAAATCGAAGTGCATCTACATGACAAAGGACCCTAATAAAACCTAATTATAATTGGCGAAACGCAGACACAAAACCCACGATTTAACAACAATTAATCTCCGATCAGAGGGTGCGGTGGCAGAGCGGTTAGTGCGCTCATCTTCGAAGCGGAAAATCCGGGTTCGAGCTTCGGTTCGGACCCGGATATTTTTTGTCCGCTTCTGCCCTCCCAGCAGTAACGGGTACCTGACTTCGAGTTGGGGAAGTAAAGGCGGCGTAGAAAGGAACTGGCCACTCTACCATTATTATGCCGAAGGCCCAGAAAGTTGTCTCACTAACAAGGCAATCCTCAATGTCCGAATCGGATGCGGGAACAAGTTTACTTTTAACCTCCGATCCTTAACCACTGATTAAGATAGGAGAAAGATGCAAACTGTCCCATCCTGCAAGAATCCTTGAATTCGGTCTGCAATGTTCTGTTTTGGTGGAACTCAGTTGCAGGGGGTTTGAACGCCTCCATAGACTCTATTTGAATCAATTTGGAGACAAGCAGCTTCGACTCTGAGCGGGCTGACTGAAACAGATACAACGTCTCAGCAGACAGACGAAGACACTCGATACAAATTTCCCCGGGTGGGAATCGAACTCACAAACTCCTGTCCCGTAAAAGCATTCCCGTGAAATGGGGGAAATACATGTAGATCAAAGCACGTGATGAACATGTAATAACAATAGATCGTCCGTCAATGTACATCCACGGAGGAGAATTTCTTGAAGAGGAATAGAAGATCAAATTTTAAGATGACCTGGGGCTCGCCAGGCGTAGCCAGAGAGACATTTCGGCACAGAAAAGTTTGTCACATTTTGAGAAATGAAAAGCTTCGTTTCCACGTATGGATATGTGTAGCTTCTGGCCTAGTGGGCTCTTCTCTTAGTTTCAGCAATTGTTCTTCTCTTGTCCAAAACGGCCCCTTTTTTCCTTGACAATGGATGACCGTCTTAATAGTAAACAGTCTTGACTGAAGTTGACTTTAGGCGAATCCCAAAGGGGGTATATTAACATCATGTTCTTATGCACAGCAGACTTGTAAATGGCCTGATTTATCAACGTCATGCTCATACTGTGCCGGAACAACATAGGGGGAACTGCTGTTTCTTTGTTCATCCTTACACTATCGTCATTTTTCCTCTACTGGTACTTGTTTTGTATGTTTGTCACTCTCTTATGGACTGCCATTTCCGGGGTGTCTTCATAGTCGAAGCAGACGTTATGCTGTTGAGACTAGAAAGGTGAGCAGAGTAAGCCTGATTACCCGTTTGGACTTCTCTGTTGACGTCCACCCCTTGGCGCACATATAACCTTATGCAGTTATGAGCGCCGTAAAATCTCACTAAAACAAGCAAACAAATTAAACAGTTTCGATTGTCATCATCATCATTGCCTTTCTCACCCTGCACCAGGGTATAGGCCACGGACAAACACCCTCCACTTTTCTCTATCCTCTTGATGTTATTCCATGTCTTCCCACTTTTCTGTACATCGATTTCTGTAATTCTTTTCCAGGTTCCACGAGGTCTTCCCCTTGACCTCTTGCCCTGTGGAGTTTCGTTTGTACATGTACATATATTATATACTGGGATTTTTGTACATTTTGTGCAGGAATGATTACTGCGGCGGGTGCACTGCTCGCTACTACGTGAATGCAGAGGAAGTGACAGACAGATGCAACGCTCAGATCCCCAGCAGCACACCCTCCAGAAGGCTCGGCATTTTCTCTCGTCTGCGGGGCCGCAGCAACAGCAGACGTCAGAACTCGAGCCCCCAGGAGGAGAAGCAGCAGTCCAGATACTTTTCGCCCTGGAGCTGGCTGTTTGGCAGCTACTTCTAAGTTCTAAGCCCCGGCTCTGAAGGGCTGGGCGGCATGCTGGAAGTGGTATCAGGCGCTCGTCAATTTGGGGGCATATTGGTTTGTTGGTATCATCTTACTCAAAGTTAAAGCCGGTTCGTTTGCCTTGCTTTTGATGAAAGAAATACCCACCTATCCTGAATAGAAGTAGAGATATTTGCGATTCAAGGAAGCGGGGGTCGCCTGGCGTCTGAGGTAAAATTAACGAGAAAATGGCTGCCAAAGTTTGGTGACTTTCAAAGCTGTAGTGTCCTAGCAAATTTACTTTTTTTTGCGCTTTTTGGTCAACGTTTTTCGGTAAAATCCACAACGGAAAGAGTTTAAATGGTTGCAAACTGCTGTGAGGCCAAAGCAAAAAGCTCAATAAAAATTGCCCAACGGGCGAGAAAATGTCGATTTCTGCGATTTCATTACTTTGACTTTGACGAGCGCCTGATTCCACCACGTCGTGACAGTGTTCTTCCTATGGGCGATACGCGCGAGGAGCAAAATATTAAGCCGGGATATCGCCACTATTTATCTGTGTTTTACTCTCTTTTCAGTTTTTTTTTCTTTTGCTCCCAAAAGCTGTTGGATTATCGATTTTGTTGAAAATGTAGGCGGTTTTGTAAATACCATTCAGGTTTTTATTTTTTAACGAACTTAGTTAAGCAAGGCTTTGCGATTCCACATCAGTGAATCCAATACAAGAATTGTTTCTTCAAAGCAAACGATTATTGTTTCTATTTTATTTATTCAATTTTAAATATTTTTTTTTAGATTTTAAAACCATTGGGGGGGGGGGGGGGGCTTGTTTAGTTTAAAGAGACACAGGTCGACTTTATAAGGACCATTAAGTGCAGAGAAAGAGAGGGGGAGGAGTGAGAGAGAGAGAAAAAGACCGGAGAAAGAGAGAGAGAGAGAGAGAGAGAGAGAGAGAGAGAGAGAGAGAAAGAAAGAGAAACAAAGACGGAGGGGGGGCTTTTGGGGAGGTGGGGGGGGGGGGGGAGAAAGACAAACAGACTAAAGAAAAAAAAACCCACTGAGAAATAAAAGTAGGACCTACCAGTAGCACCCTCTAACCATTCAGATCACACAGACAGAATATGGCCATTTGGCGCAGGAATAAGAAAAGAAGACGAATAAAATAACAGAAAAAAGAAGGTCAGTGGCACCCTCCAACATCTATATCATAATTATACATACATATAATTTAATATGTTGCATTCAATCTGCGCAACTGACAGTAGATTTTTTACTACTATTTTTGTTTGTTTTGGGTTTTTCTTAATTGTGGATGTTTTACACCCTAATCTATCTATCTATCTATCTATCTATCTGTCTGTCTGTCTATCCATCTATATTTCTTTCTATCTATCTATCTATCTATCTATCTATCTATCTATCCATCTATCCATCTATCTATCTATCTATCTATTTGTCTGTCTGTCTGTCTGTCTATCTATCTATCTATCTATCTATCTATCTATCTATCTATCTATCTATCTATCTATCTATCTATCTATTGACACAATTTAGGTGATTTAGAAAGCGGGCTGTTTCAATTCTGCCTGTCTTGCCAACCCGGCTGAGCGGGATACAACGTCTCAGTAAACAATAACTACTAGTGCTAGTACTAGATTTTAAAACATCCCCACACGGGAATCGAACTCAGTCTTCTGTGTGCAACAACGAAGCTCTAACTACTGCATCATGAACATCACAGACGCTGGTCCGAAGGAAAGAAAAGATGTTGGACCTACCATAGCACATCAACACTAAAACAGGGGTGATGTGTAAAGGGGGGGGGGTGATCAAAACATTTCAAAATTAAAAATAAGCGCAGTGGCGAAGCGGTTAGTGCGCTCGTCTCTGAAGCGGAAAGTCGGAGTTCGAGCCTCGGTTCGGACAAGGATATTTTCGCCCCGTCCTGCCCACCCAGCAGTAATGAGTACCTGACTTCGAGTAGGAGAAGTAAAGGCGGCGTGGAAAGGAACTGGCCACCCTACCGACCACAATATGCCGAAGGCCCAGGAAGTTGTCTCACTAACAAGGCGATCTCCAGTGTCCGGACCGAATGCGGGAACAACTTTACTTCATCATATTCATACTATCTACAAAATTAAGATCATTTAGGAGGCGTGCTTCCGACCCTGCCTACCAGGGCCAATCCAGGTTGTGAGGTAATTATATACAACATCCCAGCAGAAAGACCAACATACCAGATAAACAGTTTCTCCTCATTCGGGAATCCAACGAGGGTCTCCTGCAAGCCAAAGCAACACGTCGCTGGTAGACTACCTGTCCCCGCTAAAATGTGAAGAATACAACCCCAGGGGCACAAAATGACCCAGAACGTATGAATTGGTTTAAAGTAAATATAATGTATGGATTTAACAATGGCCCAGTCAAAGCTACATGTATTCGGTTATTTAAATGGCGGAACCTCCAAAATTAACTGCTGTCTCCGATAGGACCGAGCTAAATAAATGGGTCACCCCCCCCCCCCCCCTTCCGGGCAGTGTTACTGACTGAAGTTGAGTTTATATCATTCCCAAAGGGGGGGGGGAATAAACATGTTCTTATGCACTACAGTAGAATTGTAAATGGGCTGATTTATCTAAAATATGCCATGCTCACTCATACTGTGCCGGACCAACATTGGGGGAAATGCTCCTTTTTCTTTCCTCGTCCTTATTATCGTCATTCTTCCTTTACTTGTCTTGTACGTGTGTCACTCTCTTCTGAACTGCTATTTCCGGGATGCCCTGAGGGGTGAGCAGAGTAAACCTGATTCCCCGTTTGGACTTCTCTGCTGACATCCACCCCTTGGCGCTCATAATATGACCTTATGCAGCTGCGAGCGCTTGTAATTCTACTGTGCATAATCGGAAATGGCCTAAAGACACTAGGGTCAGTGGCACTGCCCTTGGGGGGGGGGGGTGCTATTGCTAGGCGCTAGTGTTGTTTGCTCTTTTTTGACACAGCAAACATCTATCGCCCTTAATAAATACCCCCCTTCCTTTTCTGTGTTTGATTCTCTCTTGTGACACCTTTAATTTTAATCTTCGTCACTTCTATGACCTTATTGTGTTGCAAATACCGTAAAACACTTCAACTAAAACAAAAATAAAACAAAAAATGAACCAAAAGATGGAAAGTACAAGTAACATGCTGTTACGAAACAGAACACCTAAGACTGAGGCGTTCTCCAACTACTTGCACGAATTGATCTGGGTTTTTTTATCGGGTTTTTTATAATAATTTAGAAAACTTTTTTAAAATCAATGAATATGTGTCTTTCCATAATATTGGTTTTGAGCTTCGACAATGCACCAATTGTTTGGTTGTTGAACCCTGGACAGTATATATATTTTTTTTGGTTTTATATTTTGATCCTTCATCCGTCACCACTGAACCTAAGTACACATTTGATTGGAGCTCTGAACAGTCTTTTTTATTTGGCCACTAATTCTTATGTCAGAGCTGATGATTCCTTTGATGCTGTTGGTCATCAGATTAGTCTTTTCGGCACTGGTCTCCATGTCATGTTGTTGATGCCATGTCTGGATGGTAGACTATCTTGACAAGCTCTTCTTCGTTCCTTGCAAGAGCATCAAATATAAATCAATAACATCAGCAAAACGAAGTTTGTGATTGTTCTGTCACCAATGCTAACTGATCCTTCGTGATCGTGGTCTTCCATTCCAAAGCATCAGTCATGATTCTCTCAAGGAAGATGTTAAAAAGAGACGGTGAATGCAGACATCCTCATTACAGTTACAAAAGCGGAAATACATGTATGATGTATCTGCCAACTCCGAAAGGCTACACATAACAAAAGATTTTTTTTCTTTCATCTTGCTTGTGGACTGTTAGCTTGTAGTTGTAGTAGAGCATACCCTAAGATTTAGTCGAATATTTGTGGGTTTCTTTAGCATAGGCGTTTTTACGTCAACTGCCCC